ACATCTGGCACCAACAACCATCCCAAATTCAGAGTTACGTGAATTGCTACCATGTTACCGATTGATTAGATATTTGTGTTAACAAGCAGTCAAACAGGTGTACCTAACAAAGTGACAGTGACTGTATAAGGGCTTTGACTTGACCACTGTTCAGGCAAATTAGCTCGGCTGACTCCAGTCAGTTCACTGTTGAGATTTTGCAGATCATTGTCATTTTGTAGAATTTGAAACCGCTGCAGCTGTGCTGTGATCACAGTTTCACACATCAAAGACTGTGTAGCAAGGGAAAAAATTAAAAGGCTGTAAATTGGCTTCAGTGTGGTGTGACTCGTGTCTGTTTGTGTCAGCAATTAAGTCACTTCAGTTTACATTTTTAATGTTGCCTCCACGTGTTCTGGCCTGAAAAATACAGAATTGGGAAAAAGAAGTGGTTTCAGTGGAAGTAGAGAGTTAGATTTGTGTGATACATACCCAGATAAGGTTGGGAAACGTGCAGTCTGCTGAGACTGACTGCACATCCAGATGAACAGAATCAACCTTTTGGGTCATTACTGTTTATTGTACCTTTCTAGCTACTCTTAAATCTGCTACATTGGATTGGTTGCGCTGAACAAGTCCCTGATGTGAAATGTGCCCTAGCCATTATCCTTACTTGACCTTGTTATTTAGCACCAGACCTCGCTGAAAATGGAAAGAAAGTCTGAATACTGGGTCTTAATTTCTCAGTTAAAGAAAAAAAGGAGGGGTGGCACCATATATAAAGGATGGATTTAACCTCCGGATACACAATATGAACCCAATGAATGCCGTAAATGGGGAAAATGACCCTATTTGTCGCATGATTTATGGCCTCTGTAAACATTTCTTCTAATGACTTTATAGCCTGAGTCAGAAGTTTCAAGTTCTCTTTAATACTTCAGTAAGATGATGTTCATTTGGTAAATGATGCTCCCATTATAGTCTAATGGACAATAGAACAGGGAGTGCTTTAGGATGAGGTTATTTTGTGATTGACAAAGTACTGCTATTATAGTCATACAATGTTCCTGGAGTTATAATTCAGGTCCACCCCTCACCCAGCATGTCCAGTCTTGTGAAAAAAAACAATGCCAAACCTGAGGCTTTAAAATAGCCGCCCACTAGCCAGTGTGTCACGCCACAGTGACGGCCATCCATCTCTTAAATAGTCTATGGTTGTTAGTTAGAGAGAGACATAACACAGAAGACACCGTCAGCAGCTTGGGGTTTTTCCATGTCTGGTATTGCATCAGTGTTTCCTTGTGTGTTTTTAGTAGTTTGTGACTTGACTGTAAACTTAGGACAGGTGAGTTAAAATGACCGAAATCTGCTCTGATATTTAGTAGTTTCAGTACAAGAGAATGGAGACTAGCGGGGGACTCTTGTGACATGAGTGCAAATGAACTGGGCGAATAATATAAATCCATATCCTTCACTTCCACTGTATTTATTTTAGTTTTGTTGTTACAGCCATTTTATTTGATCTTGAATGCATTTGTTGTTTTTATTTTAAAAAGTTGTGAAACTCTTGTTTAAATGATCAATTGTGCTGCCTCCATAGAAATTCCGTCTGTTTTTATTTAAAGGCCTCACTTAACTTGTGCATTTTTTATAGATGTACTCGAGGCTGGTACAACACACATCTGACTTACTTGTTAATAATTTGTTTTAAGAAACTGCCATGGTTTGTTTCTTTTCCCCTAAAGCCTAAATGAGCATTTAAGTTTTTGTCAAGTCAAAAATTACATTGAGTTTACTTGAAAAATGACAAACTGTCCATGTTAAAAAGCTGAAGATGTGTATTTCTGGCATTCTGTGTGTTCTCGCATGCAGGGGTCAGAAATCACCCAACAGCTATTTTTATACAGCAGGTGGGGGGACCCCTGAGGCATGCCTACAGTGGAAATTTACCTGCCTCCCAATGTCTGTGTCTGTGTCTGGGGATTTAAGATTGGCACGTGACAGATAAGAGCAGTGATCCTCCCCCCGTGTCTGTGCACTCACACAGAGAGTATGCACCACGGTGCGTTTGCATGTGCTAAACTCTGCTAAGCCTCGGCCGTGGGGAAGAAGAGCACATTTCCTCTTTCCAGAAATATCTTCATTGCTGTAAGAAGAATCAAATAATCAGATTAGCTAAGGCCATGCAAACTAAGCTGAATCCCTTGATTGTGTTTACTACCAACTAAAACAAAAAGACAAGCTCCTTCTCACACTGGGCTGGACTCAGTCTGGGGTAGATGGCCCCCTCCTCCTGCTCCTCTCGCCCCAGGCCGTATGGAGGAGCTTTAATGGCTGCTGTTGTTTCACACTAAGAGCCAATCTGGCTGTGCTCCTGGAGCCATCAGACGGGCTGTTAGCACACAAACAACAGCATCACTCCAGCTATCAGCTGCAGTAAAAACAGTGTGGGACCTCCTGTGGTTCAGGATGATCCTAGCCCCCCCACATCCTCGTTGATGCTGGTGCAGATTAGACTGTCGGCATGTGAGGAGACTGTTTGTCACAGGCTCTGGCTAAGATCGGGCTCCGGGGCAGAATTTCTCGGATTTTTGACAGGCGTCGTGTCGCCTCCCTCTGTTCTATACAACAGAAGAGAGGAGCTGCCGTCTGGATGGAGCCCAGGCAATGCCAGGGAGGACAAAAGAAAGACAAGATTTTTTTGTGTATGTTAATTCTTTTCCCTCTTCTTTTTTCACTCCTGCCGTCTGCTTCTCTGTCCCCCTGTTTCCCTCCAGAGCTTCACCCCACAGTGTTCCCTTCCCGAAAGTCAACCGTTGTAAGCCCTGCCCACAGACTTGGAGCCACGTTTTACACAACACCCCTCACAACAATAACCTGTGATGTTTTTATCTCAGTAAATCAGTCTGATTGGAAGGCACCATTGATCCATTCCAGTGCTCCTGAGCTTTTTCATCAGGCATTCTTTATGGAAAAGGCAACGATGGATACAGTTCAAAAAGATCAAAAAGTCAGAAATAAAAATTTAAGGAAAATGATATCCTAAAATGCATTTACATTCATTTTTTACATTTTTTTAAGTCGTTGTGGTTTTATTGTTGCTTGCTTATTTTTGTTTTGGCCCATTATTAAGTGCTTAATTTATTTGAGAATGTAGTTATTTGGGCCAAGGCCAAGAATAATGCTGGTCATCTTCTACTCTTGCATTAGCAACTTCAAAGTAGCTTCAGAGCTAGTCTAAGACAGCCATCCCACTTCCACAGTATAAAAGGTCCGGTGGCTACTGTGACATCACTCATGTCACCTTTGTGATTGGAGCTCATTGGCTAAAGGAATTCGAAGTCATTAGCCAATTGTTTATTTCCGAATCTTATTCTATGACACTGAGGGGGGAAAAAATCTGTTTGCATTTTAATCAGTGTAATCCAAAACAAGTAACTGAAACCATAAATGTTTAGAGAGGTCTGGGCACTTTTGCAGCTACAGCTATTGCTCCCTGGTGGCCATTTAAGAGAATGCAGGTCTAATGGTGCAGACGACAGTCAGGACATGTTCCCCGACCCAAAGGCGCAGGGAACAAACGCTCTTGTCCACTGGAAAAACTCCAACGTACAGGCAGCAAGGCGAGGGGATACTAAGATTCCTACCTCAGCATGCCGCCTCTCGCCAAGGGCAACTCTAGACTAAGGGAGTCCAGCTCCTCTCCAGGGTTCTGGAGCCCTTTGCGTTGAGCTGGTACCTCTCAACCTCACGCGGTGGATCGGGTCCTTCCCCACCAGAGAGGTGACATTCCATTTTCCAATCGTTAGTCTCGGTAGCTGGTGATTGGCCCAACAGGGTCTCTGACCCCGGCCGCCGCATGGGCCCACCCTACAGGTAGTAGCCCCATGTCCCATGGTCTCCAGGCGCTCGCCCTCGGGCACCCTCCCTGGGCCTGGTTCCAGGGTGGGGCCCTGGTAACCCTATCCTGGGCAGGGTGAATTGTTCCCTAGATCTTATACTCACAGGGGTTTTTGAATCCTCTCTTTGTCTGGTCCATCACCTGAAACCAGTTTGCCATGGGAGGCTGTACGAGGGAGCAAAAGCCCCCTGGCAACATGAGATCCCTGGGACACACAAGCCCCTCCACCATGTGAAGGTAGCGGATGTATGGATGGAAGGAACGTTTAGTATTTCCAAACAAAAATTGCTGCACTACATGTTTTACAAATAAAGAAAACGTATCATGACAGTACCCGTAGATCTCCATCAAATACCATATCCCATCAGTATGACTACATATAAATTATTACCTATAAAGAATATTCAACTGAAAATAATTTATGTTCTGTGGTAAACAGGCAAATGAGATACAGTCGCTAAGACTGTTTGAAAAATCCATGCAGCTGAGGGTCTTCTTTGTTCTGGAGAGCTTTCAGTAGACCGGAAGAAACACTGCAAAGGAGAGGTAGAAATGACTGAAAAGTCTTAAAAATGATCCAAAAAGATTCAGTTTAATGTCATTTGGGCAAAGAAAGAGGGTATGTAACTAGTACTAATGGCTTATTTATTGACTTTTTTGAAAAGGTTTTGCATTTGATGTTTAAAATGGCACAGGAGTCCTTGTTGCTTAAAAAGACGAGCTGCTGCACTGCTGAACCCACGCATGCACAGGAAGTGATGTAGTATTTAGCCTCAAATTAAAGAAATAGACAACCTCACACTCCTGTGCAGGTTGATCGACAGAGGAGACATGGTTTCAGAGCGCTGGCAACCGAAAAACCTTGTGAATTTCAACTTGAGCAACGACAGTAATGAGAAGCTCTGTCTGCTGCGTGATTGACAGCTCAGTCTGTAGCTTTTGCTGTTTGATATTCAGATGCTTTTGGTTGAGCAGCTCAGAGGAAATCTTCACTCTTTCTGTTCATTTCTGTTAAAAAAATATTATTCTTTAGTATCTTATAAGATTGTCTGAATATTAGTAATTGTTCCAGTCCTGCCATACAGCTGCTGTCATCTCATAGCTATTTTTATTTCTGCAGACTGGATCTTCCCTGGATGGTTCCTGTTGACTTCGACTGAAGAGCCTCTCCGTCACTTCTCATCACTTTACCCCACACGGGGATTTACATTAGCCAATCTGGTGAGGAATCTTTTTAATTAATTATATTTTTTTGCCTGTAAAACACCCCCTCAGTGAGTGCGTGTGGACCTGTATAGAGTCTCTGAAGAAAACGACTGAAGAGTTGGTGTAAAATCAGCTGTGTGGGGACATAATAGGATTCAGTTTATATCTGATGAGATGCAGAGAAATCTTCAGAGACCAGATTCACAAATTCTTGGATGTAATCCAGAGATGAGCTGCTTGGAACTGGTGAATGTATTGTTTTGGCTCTTTGTTGATTCCTGTGCATGTGCGTTTACGTGACTGGTTTTGTGATATTTTTTTCTGTTGTCTTGTTTGTGTGACATGACAGGAAATCTAAAATGTTCAGCAGCAGCAGCAGCTGTGGTGCTTTACCCAGCAAACACCTCTAGAACATGTTGTCCCACATCACAAAGGTCATTGCATAATTATGTTGTGTAAATTAGCATCCAAGGTATTTATCCCCTGTGGCTGTCACATGGTGTTATTTTTCTTCTTCTTCCTCTTAATAGAGCTGCAGTGGAAATTATTTATGTGTGCTTGAAGCAGTTTGGGTACAAATTTAGCTCAGAGGAGCAGCTCTCTGAGGAAGCTTCCCATACGATCGATGCTGCACTGTTATATGATTTTCTGTAGCATCGGACTTGCTAAATGGAAGCATCACAGCACTTTGTTTTTCTTCGGCTGTTGCTTTTGAATTGATGTCTGCATATTTTTAGTCATTTATGTAAAATTTTAATGTGCCAGACTTATAACAAATAATGTCTTTGTAGATGTTACTCAGATGTTTGCAGTTTTACAGGTGGCCGACTAGTGTGTTTAATTAAAAACGGCAGCTTTTGAATCAGGGGCCGTTTGGACTGGATGATGAATCAGATTTGAATTAAAATTAAAATAAATTACAATTTTGGCTTGGAGCAGTTTTGGGTTAAATGCTGTTAGGTCTGTGGATAACACAAACTGTAGACATCTTGAATCTTTACATTTAAAACTTGCATTTAAAGCTGCATTTCCTCCAAAAAGTAACAGAGGCAGCATCTGCCTACAAGGGTTCGAGTCTAGCTTTACAAAAGAAACAGTCACCAGCATAGAAAAAACTACAAATGGAAGATTTCAACTAGTGCAACTGCTGTAATAGCTCTGTCCTGTTTGGAAAGAAAAGCAAAGTAAGTTGTACAAGTACTTTGCATTCAAAAACTCCACAGATGAGGTTTTGCTTCAACATCTGCCAGAGCAACACTCTGCGTGGCCTCTTAGCACAGGTCAGTTGCATCCAGTGTCCCACAGGCTAATTAAGCCCAACCAGGAGTCCTTCTAGTGCTTGATGGCTCCCTTCACTTCCAGTGTCCACCAACCCATTCAGGGATTACCACCATGACAGCTACCTTGAGGTTTGGAAACAGGGTCCATGTCCAGAGGCTGATGTCACCAGCTTTCCTCAGAATACTGTTGAAGTTGGGATTAACAATCCTATGGATCCCAGCCTCTGCCAGATTTTTCTACCTTCTCTGTATGTTTTGGGTGTCCACGCCCAACTGCTCACCAGCTGGTCATCAGGAGCTCAGCTCCTCTCTTCACCTAAATGTCCAGAACACACAGCCACGGGTCTATTACAGAATCAATCATTGACCTGCAACTGAGTGTCCTGATGCCACTCTGCTGTGCGCTAAAGAATGCATTTGTGTTCAGACATGGTGTTAATCACGGACAAACTTTGATTTCAATGAAGTCCAATGATACAACACTGCTCAGGTTCAGATCAGGAAAGCCGTTCCTCTAGCACAGGGGTGGGGAACTCCAGGCCTCGAGGGCCGGTGTCCTGCAGATTTTAGATCTCACCCTGGGTCAACACACCTGAAATGATTAGGTCATTCCAGACCTCTGGAGAACTTCAAGACATGTTGAGGAGGTCATTTAGCCATTTAAATCAGTTGTGTTAGATCAAGGACACATCTAAAACCTGCAGGACACCGGCCCTCGAGGCCTGGAGCTCGACACCCCTGCTCTAGATGACTCACCTCCAGCCCTCACTGTCGTTTCACACATGAGCATTGAAATATCCCAGTAGGACAATGGAGCTGCCAGGTAGGGCACCCTCCAGCACTGCAGCCAGCAACTTCAACAAGGCTGAGTACTTTGTATTATTAAACTGCAATCTGGATGCCTTCCATGAGCCACAGTTGCATTAAAGCAATGCTCTTGTCCACTTGAAAAAAAAAAACAATTTTCAGGCACAAGAATATCTTCCTCTGCCAGCCACGTCTCGCCAAAGACAACACAGCCCAAGCTGAGTATGACATCAGGACTCGCTAAGGCTCCTCCCACAACAAAGACAAAAGAGAGATCATCAGTTACACAAAAGTGTCATAATCCTATTTCCCACCAAACTGTTAATGGCAGCAGCAAAATAATAAGATGTTGGCTATCCCAGTGGTCTGAAACTATACAACCATACCTCATGCTCGTAGCCTGACAGTCCCGATTGGACAGAGTAGTTAAATGTGGTGTGTTTCAGTGGGTTTTTTTTCACATTAATTAGATAGCAATAATTAAATATTAAAATGCTATTAAAAGTTCTTAAATGAAACTGCTGGACACCAGTTTAGAAGCTGTAACTCTAAATGTTAAGAAAAAATCATTAGCACCACTAATCAGTTACTTGAGTAGTCTTCAGTGCCCTGACTTAATAATGCTAGACTGCACCACAGGACAACCACCTGCTGTCTGACACCAGATTACCTTTCAGGTGGTAAATATCTCAAATCTCTCTCGCCTGTTAATGAAACAGGCAGCAGCTGCAGTAGCCTGTTGGCTATCGTGAATGATAGCCAACACACACACAGTTAACTGTCTGGTTAGGCAGATTTACATCACCAAGTTAGACCTGAGCACTGATGCACTGTTATCATATCTAAAAGACCTCATAGTACAATACAGGGAGTGCAGAATTATTAGGCAAGTTGTATTTTTGAGGAATAATTTTATTATTGAACAACAACCATGTTCTCAATGAACCCAAAAAAACTCATTAATATCAAAGCTGAATGTTTTTGGAAGTAGTTTTTAGTTTGTTTTTAGTTTTAGCTATTTTAGGGGGATATCTGTGTGTGCAGGTGACTATTACTGTGCATAATTATTAGGCAACTTAACAAAAAACAAATATATACCCATTTCAATGATTTATTTTTACCAGTGAAACCAATATAACATCTCCACATTCACAAATATACATTTCTGACATTCAAAAACAAAACAAAAACAAATCAGCGACCAATATAGCCACCTTTCTTTGCAAGGACACTCAAAAGCCTGCCATCCATGGATTCTGTCAGTGTTTTGATCTGTTCACCATCAACATTGCGTGCAGCAGCAAACACAGCCTCCCAGACACTGTTCAGAGAGGTGTACTGTTTTCCCTCCTTGTAAATCTCACATTTGATGATGGACCACAGGTTCTCAATGGGGTTCAGATCAGGTGAACAAGGAGGCCATGTCATTAGTTTTTCTTCTTTTATACCCTTTCTTGCAGCCACGCTGTGGAGTACTTGGACGCGTGTGATGGAGCATTGTCCTGCATGAAAATCATGTTTTTCTTGAAGGATGCAGACTTCTTCCTGTACCACTGCTTGAAGAAGGTGTCTTCCAGAAACTGGCAGTAGGACTGGGAGTTGAGCTTGACTCCATCCTCAACCCGAAAAGGCCCCACAAGCTCATCTTTGATGATACCAGCCCAAACCAGTACTCCACCTCCACCTTGCTGGCGTCTGAGTCGGACTGGAGCTCTCTGCCCTTTACCAATCCAGCCACGGGCCCATCCATCTGGCCCATCAAGACTCACTCTCATTTCATCAGTCCATAAAACCTTAGAAAAACCACTCTTGAGATATTTCTTGGCCCAGTCTTGACGTTTCAGCTTGTGTGTCTTGTTCAGTGGTGGTCGTCTTTCAGCCTTTCTTACCTTGGCCATGTCTCTGAGTATTGCACACCTTGTGCTCTTGGGCACTCCAGTGATGTTGCAGCTCTGAAATATGGCCAAACTGGTGGCAAGTGGCATCTTGGCAGCTGCACGCTTGACTTTTCTCAGTTCATGGGCAGTTATTTTGCGCCTTGGTTTTTCCACACGCTTCTTGCGACCCTGTTGACTATTTTGAATGAAACGCTTGGTTGTTCGATGATCACGCTTCAGAAGCTTTGCAATTTTGAGACTGCTGCATCCCTCTGCAAGATATCTCACTACTTTTGACTTTTCTGAGCCTGTCAAGTCCTTCTTTTGACCCATTTTGCCAAAGGAAAGGATGTTGCCTAATAATTATGCACACCTGATATAGGGTGTTGATGTCATTAGACCACACCTCTTCTCATTACAGAGATACATCACCTAATATGCTTAATTGGTAGTAGGCTTTCGAGCCTATACAGCTTGGAGTAAGACAACATGCATGAAGAGGATGATGTGGACAAAATACTCATTTGCCTAATAATTCTGCACTCCCTGTAGAGCATTTTAGCTCCTGTTTCAACAACATTAAAGTATTGAACAGTTGTCATGAATGTTAATCTGCAATTACCCATATTGGTCATCTCTCAGGTAGCGGCTATGGCTAATAAAAGAGCTGCAACATTAATGTGGGAGCTAGCTAACAAACAACACCAGTCCTGCTCCCTGACCTCTAACTATAGTTAATATAGTGCTCATTTAACAGAATTAAGTTTAAGTCTCTGAAAATTTGAATTTAATTAGCAGTTAGGGAGTCACGTGTCATGTGTAAACCATACAGTTATTTTTCACTTGGTCAGATAACTGACATGTTTCTATTGTCAGATTTTTCTTTAAAAAACAGAGCTGGAGATGTTCACCCTTACACGTCCATGTGTGTGTGTGTGTAACTCCGCCAGAGTGCCTGTTTCACTTTTCCTGGTCCCAAGTCCAGATAGAGGAGCAGGGTTGGAATTGAGATGTTAAAAAAATGATAATTGCAAAAAGAAATTTAATGTGT